AAAGGAGTGACTAGAGGCGAGAGCGACGAGAGATGAGCAAAGTCGGGATAGGCAGACTCAATTAGACTACGGAGGGTGCTTAAAGGATGATGTGGTTTGGTATGCAGTCGCAAAGGTATCTTCGAGATGATACTGGGTGGGATGTTGGTTATATCGTCTGTGGGGTATTGCCTGCCCAGAATTTCCACGGTTCTTGGGAGCGGAGAGGGACTAGCGGAGGACATGGCCCTGGCCCATGGTAGCCTACGACAGCATTGGGTGCAACATCGCGTTACTTTTCTGAGAGGCATCCTGGTAACCGTCCTCAAGCCTCTTAGAGTCCTTGACACGTCGGAGGTGCACCGGAGAATATAACCGATAGGGTTCGGGCGGAAGATACGGAAAGTAAAAGTACTGATGTTTGGTCGTGTTGTTCTCGGAAGTTGCTGCTTCTTCCGACAACGGGTCAATCATACTTATGCCCCATCAAGCATACTTAACACTGGCCAGGCTAAGGATTGTGGAAATGTATGCCCATAAACGTTTAGGCAGAGGAGACAGACCACAAATCTGGTGCGCATAAGAACCAGTATCGAGCATAGTGCCATAATTCTTATTGGCACACTTTACAAGCCCATGTTAGTTGGTGAATCAGCTTCCGGCTGATTCCGCCAGTCGTGTTTGTGCGGTGACGGTGTGGTGACAGTGGTAGCACCAATATGGTATCCCACTAAAGAGAAACATGGCAACGTAAGTGAATAGTTAAGTTAAGGCTTGGAAGCTGGTCGAAATTCAATGTAGGCGTGTGTGTACAAGAATATAACACACAACACTCTGTGCTGAGCCCCGACAAGTGCCCGACATTGAATATTTGAACGTTGATGTTTGATATCAAGGTACTAGCGTGAAGTGTTTCGTCGCGCAAGGCACCGTCCGCGGGTTCTATGGCGGACATCACCGTTCTAGCGAAAGCGGGGTAGAATCTAGGGACCACTTTATACAGCAGAAGTGTATGTTACAACCCAGAGCTGGTGTTGCTAAGAAGGGTACCACTGGCACAAAGTGGCGTACGCATTATACAAAATACCACACCGTTAAGAACCTCGTAGTCATAGCTGTGACGGTCCATGTAATCATTGAATGCACTGAAAGTATGAAGGCAGTGTGCATTTCACATTTGATAATACAGGCTTTTGGCCGAACGTAGATAAGCTGATGCTGAAACATGCCAGAACTTGAAAACTCGGCCAATGAAAGACGATGGAATGCCAACGTATCCTGATATATTGACGGTGACACTAAGCTACACTACACTATCTACCACTATCATAAGGTGAGACCGTCATCATTCATCAAGAGGAAATAGTCCTTCTATCATCCGTAAGTAATCATAAGTGCGTGAGATTTAGCGTAAAGGGAGGGGTGATAAAAGCAGGATGAAAAGGCTAGAAGAGCGAACTGTTGAAAAAAGAAACAAGGAAGCGCAAGATACACAGTACAAGAAACAAAGATCATGCAAACTCAAATCACCCGGAGTCTACCATCCACCACCGAACCAGCGAGCAGGAGGCCGTGTGGCCCGTGGACGAGCGGCGGTCTTGGCTGGAGACTCCTCGTACTCGGTAACAATTTCAACTTCTGTGGTACGAGGGCTCTGGTCGGACTTTGACTGACTCTGAGAGACGGGGGATGGCTTGGGGGCGGGGCGAGTGCTTGCAGGAGGCGGAACAGTAATGGTTTGGGTCTTGATCAAAGTTTCATGGACAATTTCTTCGGCAACAATAGGTGGAAGCTCCTGGTACTGGAAAGAAAAGAAGAGTCAGCACTGGATCGAAAACAAAAATCAAATAAATAAGAGGAAGGGGGGTCGTAGACCAAAGATCGAGGAAAGAAAGTCATCACGTGTACTCTGTGTAACGCGACGAGATCGAGACACGATTGATCGATCGATCGAGGCATTATCGGTTAATACACGATCGAAGTATATACTCCACTTCCAGGATCGATGGCCTACAAGGACGAGGGGGACAAGGAAGGAATACCGTAGTCCCCCTAGCCCACTAGGGATGATAAATGGTGGGGGCAGGGAGGGATTCCTACGGACTGGACTGGGAAGGATGTTGTCTTGTTCCCCCATCGCCTTAAAGATCGGAGCGACGCGTAGGAGGCGTGGGTACCTTAGGGACTTTCCGCTTGGGAGCCGGGGGCTCATATACATATTCCTCCTCGACGGTTTGGGGGGAATCGTTGCCGAGAGCGCTATTAATAAATCAGAATACTGCGGATATAGGGGCTGATCAAGAAACTTACATTAACTGTTCCATAATCCAAGATTCGCGTCGAGCAGCATCATGCTCACGACGATTGACTGTTTCTTCGCGCTTGCTGATATCTCTTTCACGCTCGGCAATCTTGAGCTCGCGTTCAAGAAGTTCCTCGGCGCGGGCCCCAGTCCAGCCGGGGGGTGTAAGAGAATCTTCCTTAATAATCTCTTTGATGATAGTTGCAGCAGGAGCGGTAATGGTCTCAATAGTGGTTGAAGCGGTGCAAACCGGGCAGGAAGGAGGTGAGGGAACAACACCACCTGGTGCACCAACCAAGAGCTCGGCCTCACGACGTGCAACTTCAGCTTCACGAACAGCGACGGCGCTCTCACGAGCGATGAGGGCCTGAGTGCGCTTGGGTGTCAAGTAACCCAAGACACTAGAACCGCTGCTACCGCCTTCGGTGGTGCCGGTTGCCGTACTGCTGGAGGGAAGAGAAAGCATGACCGCGAGGACTGCGAGGACGAGGGAGAGGACCAGAAGAAGAGTGGTGGATGAGATAGTACGGTGGTGGTGGTGTGAAGACGAGCTACGATGACGGTGCTCGCGATGTTCACGGTGTTCACGTTCACCGTGATGGGAGGAAGAGGGATTACCGGCCATCCTATCTTTATGGCCCATGATTGAGGTTACATACGAGGACATGGTTTCTAAGTGTCTCACCGCTCAGCGCAGACAAGGATGTTGTGGTTGTAAGAGGGCGTAGGAGAATTGACGACGTGGTGAAAGTTGAAGCGTGTTGAAACGCGGATTCTGGTTGAAAGTTGAGTGAAGAAAGGTAACGCAGAGGAGAGGGATTTTAAAGACCCGGAGAAAATGGGGGGCGGAGGACAAAGGTAACGCAATTGAACCCTTGTCAAATTTTTCCCATTTTCATTGTTCAACCAACACGTGTTTGGGCACGTGTAGGTGACAATAGCTCATTGTGACAAATCACCCCATTTTTGTGTTTGGGCAAAGGGGGGTGTACAACTAAGCACAAATATTGTGACGGAACCGACCCAATCAATGACATTGAATCAGGTAACGCCTGCCCCACGCTGGCCGAGACGCGTTTCAACGCCTGATCACCGCGTTCTCTGCCTGCACCCATGTCCCTCCGTCGGTTTGCCCAGGAAAATCATGCCGGAGTCACTGGATCTCCACGTACATCTGCCTCACAAAGCACCAATTCCTCGCCAAAATCTCCACTAGCTAATCCTCCGTCCACTCCACGGAACAGACCTTCAATTGGTATCTACCGCTCTCCAGCCTCAACCCCTTCAATCTCGTCTTCTATACCCTTCGATTGGGAGGCAGCTCGCTCACGTAGACCACCTCCATATGGAACACCACAAAATAAAATTCGCAAGTCCATGGGCGTTCCCAATGGCGATGGGACACCAGCACGTAGGGCAGTCGTTCGTAAAAAGTCTTTGTATGAAAGGTTGGTCTTGTTCCTTAAAAGCTAGCTATATATTTATTAGTGATGATGGAAGGATTACGTCTATTCCATCTACGATTGCATTCGAAATTGCACTCTTCCCTCATAACGTGCCCCTTCCATCTCCAAAGACTTCGGCCAAAATACTCGGCGGTGCAATGCACTTCTTCCACTTCTGCACACGCGTTAGCCAGATACGTAAAGTCCCAGACTCGGACCTTGGCTGGGAAGATATGTATCGTGAGGGCGAAGGAACCTCATGGTTCGACTGGGTGCGTTCATCTAATTATGACTCTCAGACACTCCACTAATACGTTTATACTCTTAGACCGTCCCAGTGACTCTCCTCCTTATCTTCGGCTCCGTCTTTAACACGGCTTACCTCTTCTCCCGCACGAGGATCTACCAGTTCCATAAACGTATCGATCCACTCTCCTCTCCTAATGCCAAAACTATCGCTGCAGAACTCGACGTCGAGCCCCTTAAACCACCGTCGCTAGGCGCACAACTGCGCGCTGGAGCATGGTATGCCTTCTCATACTCATGGCGTTGGCTCCTTGGTATGAAGCCTCCCCAAATGTATAAGCCGGTCCCTCCAAAGATGACCAAAGTACAACAACTATTGGTATGGAACCCCGGTGAACTCGAACTCGAATTGTTCAGTTTGTATTCACCCATCCATGCGCTTTTGTGGTTGGCTACGTCCTCATCCAATTGGATCCTTATGTTCTTCGTAATGGGTTTGACTAGCGTGCAGGTATGGCGCTCCTTCTGACACATGAATATCGGACACTGACGTACGAGTAGTTGAATATTCTCATTCACTCATATGGTACCTTGGTCAAAGACAAGGAACTTGTCGCTGCGGAAGTCATGCATGAATATAACGAAGGGGTACGTTTGAGACGGAGTTGAACCACAAGCTCTCACTCATTGAATATTGCTCCGTAGTTTGTTTACCCTCGCGTGAATCCCATTCGCAAGGACGTGGCTGTGATGACCCATCAATCGGAAATGGTGAACGTATGGGAGGATTGAAATTGGACCAGTTCTTGGACAATATCATACTTATTATATGCTCGCTACCAGGATGCTTTCACGATCAGTATTCCTCTGCGCACTTGACTCTCCGTACATATATTGTTCATCACCTGCATAGCCTCATAACTTTTCCACTCAGCCGCATTCCAGCCTTCACGATGGCAGTAATGATTTTACCTAATGATACAGAGTACTTCATCAACCAATTAAAAATTCATAAATGCAAAATATAATGCCCATATCGAGATTCGAACTCGAGACCCTTGCATGGTCAGAATGTAACCTCATAAGTACAATGCTCTACCGGCTGAGCTATACGGGCTTGATAGAGCTCTGTAGGCTTGTCAATGAATCCTTCAGACATGCTCAGGATGTTTTAGTCCTTGTACAATAAAGATTCCCATCACCCACAATCAAAGGAATGCAGCACAATTGGTGAACACGAATGTACCCACCCAGACCTAGTTGGTACCTTAGTGTCTTTCTCATGATCTGTGAGAGAGGCACATTGAGCGAAGATAAGAACGTAAACTCATTAATCTTGGGACAGTCACGTACACAGAAATAGCATATCATGGCAGAATGGACAGCGAGGTCTACCGTAAGTTACAGTGAGAAGCAGAAAGTTATCAGACCGAAGATGTCTCCTCCGCGCATCCCCCATCCAAGAAATTAAGGAAGCGAGTACCAACACGCTTGGCTTGTTCATCTGAATGAGTGATCCAAATGAGGGCCTTCAGCTCCCGCTCAGGAGATTTGACTTCTGCAGCCAGGAATTCCTCCACCATCGAAGACGACTGTGGATCCAGTGCCGATGTTGGCTCTAGTCCAAGCAACCTACTTTTGGCATCAGACACCCGAGATAACCCAAGATAGCACTTACCGTCGAGTAACAAGACTTCTGCTGTATCTAGTGCCAGCGCAACTGCCAGTGCAATTCTCTGTGCCTCCCCACCGCTCAAATTCGACCATTCTCTTTCCCATAGCTCCTCCTCAACACCCCACAGGCCCGACACTTCCACTGCTCGCTTCAACACCTTGTGCGGAGCAGCCTTTTCAGGTTTATGGTCCTTATACGCTCTGTGAGATTTTAACTTTGATATCGAAAATAAAAAGTCCTTCGGCGTGCCAGGGAGAAGAGAGGGCCTTTGTGGAACGTAAAGCACCCTTGTACGGAATGTGGGTATGCCTATCATCGAACACTGTGAGAGATCATCGCCATCGATATCGGTACTTTCTTGCGAACCATATACCCGTGGGGTCCTTGAGAAGAAGAGAGGGGGTTGGAGTCGGCGTTAGTATTATTATCGTAATACTCTTCCTCGGTCAAATGTGGAGAGCGTTGGCTCCTCTCGTACCTCCCACGATAGAGTATGTTTCCCTTGTGGAGAACAAGGTGAGCGATACATTTAAGAAGTGTTGTCTTCCCAGATCCACTTTTTCCTTGGAGAACGACTATATCGCCTGGTGACCCAGTCATGCAATTATCATTTGACACTGCTACAAAATCCCATGCTTAGGGACGCACCCTCGTTCACTACGAAGCTGACGTTTTCAAAGAGCGGTTGTCCAGGCGCGACCTCACATGTAACGCCACGTAGCTCAAGGATAGATTGAGCCATGGTCATGATTAATGTAAGGGAAGGGCGAGTAAAAACGGAAGGATAACCGCTAATCTCTGAGAATCCCACATTATGAACTGTGCGATATTCGCGTGACGTCATTATAATTTCCAAATCCACAGTTTTCCTTGCATACGTCCTCCCAGACACGAATATAACCGTGAAAACCAACAACGTTTATTATGCAAGAGTAGGGGAATTATTCTAGGTGGGATAGATTACACTATAATGAGGGCTGGGGTGGAAGTCCCATCTCCTCGGGGGTCAAGCTAGAGCTCTCGATCATCACACCAACACCGACTTTGGCAGCGTTCTGGGAAACAATGTTGTTAGCAATGTGAGGTGTGCCCGACAACATGTGACGTACCTTGAAGTGATCAATCTCACCCGAGACAAGGAAGGCAAACGTGGGAGTGAAGCGCTGCTCCAACAGTGCGGACACCTTGCCAGTAGAGTCGAGCTGGGCACGGAAGGTCGCCAGTCTCAGGTCATATTTGGCACCAAGAGTGGCGATAGCATCACGCCGTGTCGGTGCAGCAATGAGCTGTAGGTCAGCAGCCACATCGACTTTCTCGCTCAATTTGTGCCAGTAGGTCGCCTGGAGGATACCAGCGGGCTGCAACTGAGCTGTTGCAATCCAGCTCTTGTCGTTACTTGTGAACTTGGCGAGGTACGAGGAACTGATTTCGGATAGCTCTGGGTTGGGCCGCTGCCAGAGAGACTCGACACCCACAGCAAGGTTTTTGGTGATGGATTGGAGGTAGCTGCCGACGTAGATGCCAGTGAAGTCAGCAGGAGATGGGTTGATACCCTTGACATTCAAGTTGAAATCACGGCCTTGGTAGTCGTGTTCCAACTGGATCATGTTTTGCCCAGCTTGTTGCGAAAACTGTCAAGTATGTATGTCAGGGTCTAAAATTTGCACCACAGTCGCGAAAACCTCACCTGCGCTTGGGCCTTCGTAACCTGGTGGTCTGACCAGCCGTGGTTAAACCTGGCATTCACGTTGCCCTCGTGGTCGACACCTCCCTGGAGGAATACCTACCATCGTTTTGGTCAATGTCCGGAACAAATTTCACATGGAAATAACACACCTTTTGGTTCGCAAAGATAGCACCGAAGTTGTATGACGATGGAAGTGTTTGTGAACCCAGTGCGAAGGAGTGGGTGACTTGGAAAAGCGGGTTCATAGACAGGCTCTTCGTAAGGTCAGCGCGGGCTCCATCGAACATGTAATTGTTCAAGTGAGTGGCTGTTTACGCGCAACGTGTCAAATTGGTTGCACTACGGTAAAGTAAGAAAGACAGACCCTTGGCCTCCTTCTGGAGGTTTTCAACAGTTCCGGGGTGAGGAAGACCAAGGTCTGCTCGCCATTGGTTGAACCGGTCAATGGCATTCCAAAGTGGGGAGACGGGGTTGAAATACGACGGAGCGACAGTGGGCTTTGGTGCGGCCTGAGGTTCTGCGGCGGTTGGCTTTTCCGGAATAGAAACGGAGGCCATGACGGTGGTAGCGAAACGACTAAATAATGCTACGAGAGCAAGTTTGGGAGGAAAAACGGACCAAACAGACGCAAAGCGCTGGCGCGGGCAAGAAATGGGCGGTCACCCTGAGATGGTGAGAAAATTTGTATCTCAAAATAGTCTTAACCGGACCCCCAGATACAATCTCCTATATCATCGTCGAATTGCTGCTCTACGGTTTTCAATGTATACTCGCTATCTAATGTCTTCTCATATCACTCAACTTTTCGAAGACACCGCCTGACGACGCAGCACCACTGGACGCGGCTCCACATGCCGGTGACTTTCGGCACTTTGGCCGCTGGGGTGCCGATGCTGCGCAATTTTCTGGTGGTAGCCGATGTGCGCTGCAGGTCGCGACTAGCTACTAGGCGAAGAAGAAAACATGAGCGCAGCTATAGTACGCGGTTCCAGGGATCTCTGAATACATAAACACATAAAGAAGACGATGATGGGTGGAGTTAATTGGAGTGCGAATGTTTGAACTTCGCACGAGAAGGAAGATGATGGTTACTGAGTAGATGCAGTGAAACTCCACTTGTCTTAACCCGAAATCTCCTCTCCACGAACCTGTTGCTTCCGCCCTCTTAAATACCGATCTCCATTCTCTCCTTCCCCCCGATCTTCATCCCTCCCTTCCAACCATGGCTGGCCTCTCGCCATTTGCCTCCGGTCCTCGAAGGTTCATCTTCGTTATCCTCGCCACCGTTGTAAGTTCCTCTGATCGTCGCCCTGATCCACACTCAAACTAGCTAGGTTATGCTTCACTATGTTCTGGGCATGCTACACTCGGACTACTCCCGTCTCACCAACTTTTCGAGCATCAGCGAAAAGTGGAAACTTGCCCATGAGAGAGTTTTCAACTCTTCTGCTTCGCTGTTACCCCCTCCCTTCCTCAACGACTCACTACCAGTCACCACTACGGAGATAACCACAACCACCGAGCTTGTCGAGGTGGCAGCCCCAGAGCCTACATTCGTCCCTCCTCCACCTCCAAAACGTGCAAACGCCACCTTCGTCTTTCTCTGTCGAAATTCTGACCTTGCCGGTGTCGTTTCGAGCATTCGGCAGATGGAAGACCGCTTCAACAGGAATCACGGGTATCCCTGGGTTTTACTAAACGAGGAGCCCTTCACGGAGGAATTCAAAGAGTGCGTCATCTATACTATGTCTACCGCCTTCGTACCCTAAAGCAGCCGTAGACGTGTCCGGGTTTTGACAGACGCGCCCATTCACTTTGGACAGATCCCTTCTGAGCACTGGTACCAACCTGACTGGATCGACGAAGATCGTGCGCGAGCCGGCCGGTCACGGTTGATGGCACAGGGGATCATCTATGCTGGTAAGTTCCAAGCTGATCACACCTTGAAACAATGCAGTGTTGATGCTGACCACCTCAACAGGCAGTGTCCCGTAAGCTATTTGATCGCTATCCTCAAACACATTGCTTATCGGTGTTGTTTGCAGATACCGCAATATGTGTCGTTTCAATTCTGGGGTGAGTACCTTGATCACACGGCGGTGACAACATGCCCTGACCTTCTCTTTAGTTCTTTTTCAAGCACGAACTCCTGCAGCCATATCGCTATTATTGGCGGTAAGCCGCGCGATTTCCTCGCAGTTTGAGAATTCGGCTAATATTATTTTCTATTTATAGGGTTGAGTGAGTTTTTATCTCCATGTCAACTAAAAATAATTGGTCATGATGCTAACGTGTCCGCAACCGAAGGCCCGGCGTACAGTTCTTCTGCGACGTCACATATGATCCATTCGTGTTTATGCAAGAGAATAACAAAGTCTACAGTGAGTGCCTGAGTATCATGCGATGGTTTATCCGCGGCACGCTCACGCGGCCCCAGGCTTTACCATTTCCCTAGTCGAGTGGGAACCAACAATCCCAACACTTTGGTCAACGGTGAAAGGTAAAAGGATTGTATTCCCAGCATCGCCGTTATCTCAAGTATAGCGTAGAATTTGTCAAGAGGTACCCCGAGTTATTGGACCCCAACAACTCCTTGGGATTTTTATCCGACAACAATGGAGTTGGGTACAATCTATGCCACTGTAAGCAAGCTTGAGTGCTAGTGGTTATCGTTCTAATCTTGGTATCTTAGTCTGGAGCAACTTCGAAATTGCCGATATGGACTTCTGGCGAGGTGAAGCGTATCAAAAATTCT